GTAGTCAAGCAGATAAAGTCTTGTTCCTCCCTTCAGTAGCTGTGCCCAGTGCCTGCCCTCTGCTAGGCAGTGCGTGTGAAAGCCAGCTCTTCCTTAAAGAGAAAGGGAGAGTTGAACTTACTGTCCCAGTCCAGGGGGGCTGGCTCCTCCCACCAGAGTCTCCAGTGCATGGAAACTACAAAGGATGGCCTGACTTAACTACCAGGTCGGTTCAAGGAGAGTGTCCCAGAGAAAGGGCCCATTACAGAGGAAGGAACCATGCATCCTGTTAAAGGACTTGACATCAAGACGGGAAGAGCATTTCAGGCTGAGGGACCAGCATGTACAAAGGCGCAGAGGCAAGAGTTGGCAGGCCCATCTGAGAAAGGGCAGGCACTGTGCATGGAGGTGGGGAAGACCAGCTGGCCCGATTCTGCCAGCCTCAGAGGTTGCAGCTCTTCGGGAAAGCAGTAAGGCGCTGTCACAGGTTTCCCAGCTGGGTGGTGACCTGGTACGATTTTTAGAAGGACTGTCATGGGAAGAGCACTGCTGGCGCAGGGAACAGGGAGGGGGCGCTGGTTTCTAGGAACTGTGTATTTCCTGTACAACTTCTGACGCTTCTGATGATCAGATAAAATAGACACCACATGATCTGCATATGTCCCGTAGGGTGTCCGGAATTTGACATAACCTCAGGGCCCAAGAAGATGAGGCTAGGAATGGGGACAGGAGATGACCTCCTGAGACGCCTTTTATGTCTGTTGTGTTTCTCAGGGCTGGTGACTTGGCCCTTGAGTGGTTTGGTCCCAGAAGTGAAGGGAGACATGGCTACCATCTACCATGGTCATTTCTCCCAGGGGTCCTCTGTGACTGTTAGCCTGGTGGCTTTGGCCAGTCGGCATGAAACTCTGTCATATATCTGTATTCAGAGGTTGTCAGGATGCAGGCAAAGGGGAGCTCTCAGTCTAGGTTTAACACAGGCTCGCCAGCCCTGTGCCTGGCACCTGCTAGGCACTCAGTGAGTTCTGTGCTCTCAGCCTTCTTTCCTGGATGCGTCTTTGAGACAAAGACAGTTCTGAAGTAGGAGGATGTTTTTGTTTTTAAGCAACTTAGATGTGCTAAGCATGGCCTGGGACGTTCATACCCATTAACTCATTCCATTTTCTCCCTGGTGACTTAGGGGTGGAGATTGTTAATGATAAGGAAGGGAAGCTCAGAGAGGCTAAACAACTTCCTCACAGTCACACAGCTCTTCGGTGGGGAGGCACGATTTAAATTCCGCTCCCCAGAGCCGTCACACACTCTGAACTCCACTTGCATTCTCCTTTCAAGGGCTCTTCTGAGTTTGAGAAATATACAAGGACTCAGTCTCTGCTTTCTCTAATGAGAGCACCTATTACAGTGCCACCTACAGACACCTTGAGACATACCCTCCACCCCACACCTTCCTGTAACACCAATGAGTGGCTGATCACAGCATTCCTCAGGGCCAGTAATGGCCCAGTCCCTGGGGAGGAAGACTCAGTGGCAAGGTCCTTGTCTGTAGTGGTCAGTTCTGTGGCTTAGAGAGGAGGAAGCTGGAGCTTACCCATTAAAGGGATGGCAAAGTTATGATCAATGCAGTCATCCTCTCATTTCCAGCTAGGTCTCTAGTCTGCAGCCGGAGATTTCAACTTAATTTTTAACATTTTATGTACTTATTTTCATCCTTAAGAAAGAAAAAGACAGGAACTCAATCCAGATTTTCCATGTGGGTGGCAGGGACTCAAGCAGTCGAGCCATGACCTGTTTCTTTCCATGGTTTGCATTAGCAGGAAGTGGCATTGAGGATGGCATAGGGACTTGAACCCAGGCACTCTGATAGGGAATACAGGCATCCCAAACTGCATCTTGTCCTCTGTGCCCAATGATGCTTGCAGCCAGAGGGTTTTTTTGTTTGTTTTGTTTTTAAGATTATTTATTTATTTGAAAGACAGAGCTACAGAGAGAGCATGGGAGAGACATTCCATCTTCTGGTCCACTCCCTAGATGATCACAATGACCAAGGCTGGTCCAGGCTAACACCAGGAGCCAAGAGCCTCCATCCAAGTTTCCCACATGGGTGGCAGGAGCCCAATCTCTTAGGCCACCCTCCCCTGCTTTCTTGGCCCATTGGCAGGAAGCTGGATCGGAAGCAGAGCAGCTGAGACATGAACCTGCACCCATATGGGATGCTGGTACTACAGACTCCAGGCTTCACCTACTGTACCACAGTACTGACCCCCAGCCAGAGGTTTTAAAAGGAATGTTCAAGGTCTAGGTCCATCTGTCTTTAAACAGGACAGGTCTGCTGTGGTTTTTGTTTTTTTTTTTTAATAATGATGAAGTTCTGTTAGGACCAAAAATCCAGTGTGAAAAACCACGGCAACCTTGGGCTCTGCTGCCTGGATCCTAACAAACACCTCTTGATGCTATCCTGCCAATAAAGAAGGCTTTTGTTTCCTGTGGATATCCTTGGTTAATTATTTTTAAATAAATAATTACGCAGCCCGTGGTAGGGGAGAAGCCTCCCTGTGACCTATATTTGATCATCAGAGGGCTGGCCCTTTTCTTCCAGCCAAATTAAATAGGCTAAATCCAGAGACTATTTGACTTGAGACGGAATCGATGGTGGGGACTAGCTGGGAGGTGACAACACACCTGACTCCCGGTGTTATCACCACTCTCCCAGGAGCAGAGCATCTTGGGGAGGCAAACAGCTGGTCAGAGGATCCGAACAAGCAGGAGACAAATGTGCGGAGGAGGGCAGGTGGTAGCCAGGCCTCTCCCCAAGGTTGCGTGCAGGGTGAAACATCAGGGATTCTGCCAGAGCAGGGCTCTGTGCAAACTGTTCACTACAGAAAGGAAATTCTAACCATTGCCGAGGGCTGGCCCTCAGTTTTCTAGAATCTGAGTATCTCAGGACACACACTCTGTGGTCCATCCTGTGACAACTCTCCCACCTCCATGCATCCCTGCCTGAAGTTGTCATTTCTTTGTCTTGATGCAAAGGGTCTGTATAGCTATTATATCTATCCTCCAAAGAGCCCCACAGAAGAAGTATTCTCCCCCATTTTATGATGATGAACCAAGGTGAGGGGAGGTGATTGTCCTGTGATTATGCACCTATGAAGAACAAAGTTGGGATTTGAACTCAAGTCTGTCTACTATCAGAGCCCACAGTCTTCCCCTTGTGCTTAGATTGTTAGGAAATTTTTCTGATCTTCCTTCCTCTTTGGCAGTGGTTCTTACTCTGCGTTTGGAGCTCACAGGCTCAAATCTCTTCTTTTACATCACAGCTCTTTGAACAATCAGAAGAGTCCTGCTGGAAGAAACAAGACTTGATTGATTCCAATGGATGAGGAGAGGGTGGTAACCAAGAGACAAAGGAATCACAGGCAGCTGCCGAGGAGGAAGGCCAGGGCAGGGCTATGGATTGGGTAACGTGGAATCCATTCCTTCTGTAACTTCATGGCTGTTGCTCTTGTCTCAAATTATAGTACCCTAGATCAGTAACTGACAGGTTCTGGCACTAACCCACTGCTAGTAGTACCAACCCTACCCAGAACCCCTTGAATCAAAAAGAATGGAGACAACCACCCATAGAAAAAGCCTGTGGACAAGCAGTGAACCACTTTGTGGTCAAACAAGGTGCTCTTGCAGTTTGAACCCTATGTTTGTGTTTGTTTGTTTTCACCCTGGTCCTCTTAAGCCCTGGGATCTATGGGCCTTGAGTCATGTCCCTGGGAAGATCCAGGAGAAGGTGGCTTGGCTTACTGGTAGACTCTAGCTTAGCAACTTAGAAGCTGTTGGTTCAGGCAGATGGCAGGCTCTGAGGAGCGGGCTGCCCTGGAAAGAGGCAAGGTGGGGTGAGGAGCAGAACTCAAGGTTAGTCCTTGAAAAACTGGGCTGAAGGAGAGGTGCGGCCAAAGAGTTATCCCAATTTCCAAGTGATTCTGTGATAAAAGTCTTTGCAGGATTGCATCCTCTTAACTTTTTGTCAATACCTTTCTAAGCTTGAGAATGACACCACCACCAAGTACCCCTGAACTTTTCCTTGGGTGTGTCATGGGCACATCAAGCAGGGTTTGCTTCTGCAAATGGGAGCCAGGGTCTTCCACCTTGACTTTCTTGCCCTTGCCTCATCTCTGCCCAGCACTTTCCTTCTACTGAGAACAGACCTCAGCTTTGGTTGCTGAGCCAGTAGGGAGACTTGGAAAGGAGAGGTCATAAACATGCTGGGTTCTCCCCTACTGCTCCCTCACACACAAAATTGCAGTGGCTCACTGAGTATTCATAGCCCACCCGTGTGCACTGCCCGCCTCACCCTGTGGCTGACAGGCCTTTTCCTGTGTCCAGGAAGTCAACCAAATGAGATCCCACCAAAGGAATGCGAGTTCCAGGGCCAGAGATTCCTGGCTAAAGCCCGCTTGTCTGTCCCCTGTCTTGCTCTGCCTGTATTTCGCCTAGCCTCTTAGGATTCGCCAAAAACATTGAACACTGCCACTGAGAAATGCACCATGGCTGTTACAGCAGTCCCCAGACAAGCACACCTTGTCTTTGTGAAATCAGTCACTTTATACTTTGCAGTCCCACATACCCGTCAGTTGTCGTCGGGAGCATACTCCTGGAAGTCAGCTGGAAGAATAAATCTTGTAACCAGGAAGAAGAGGTCAAGGTCAGCCTCTAAATCCTTAAATTGCATCAAAGCAACAGTTAGTGCATTCTACACATGATTATTGACTATCCTACCAAGTGCCAAGCAGGGCACCCAGGCATGCAGCAGCAAACCAAGTGGAACGGGCTGACACGGTCTGCCCACGTGGAGCTTCCATTCTAGCTAGACCTGATATCAGGTTGTAGTTGTGGTGTCTTCAACCTGGGGGACAGCTGTTCTTGTAGGTCGATTCATCCACCCTGGAAAACACTGGGGGAGCTGAGTCAGCCAGTGTTCCTGGGTCCTGGTGACACTAATGTTCCCTGTTGGGTCTGTGTTGTTGCAGGAGTGCGCTACAGCCAGCAAGGAAACAATGAGGTCACTTCCTCTTCAACAATCAGTCACCATGGCAACAGCGCCATGGTGACCAGCCAGTCGGTTTTACAGCAAGTCTCCCCAGCCAGCCTGGACCCCAGCCACAATCTCCTCTCACCTGATGGTAAAATGGTGAGTACACCTGGGCCATTGCAGCTCTGGCGCTGATAAGATAAGAGGCAAAACAAACACGACTTCTCACAAGGCCTGCCTCAAACAATGAACCATTGTAGCCCCTTTGGGGAAAATAGGGGCCTGCCGGAGTTGGAGCGGAAAGGCCGAGCTGGTGAGCCAGCCTCTGGCGGGTGGAAGAGGTGTTCGGTTTGAACCTAGCCAATAAATCTGACAGAGCCCTGCTCTCATTTTATTGATTGAATGCCTCATAAAGGAGCGAGCTGGGTGGGACAGTATTTGTTTTGGGGCTGCCAATGACATTTGTGTTGATAAAATGTTCATTCAGTCCCCTCTCCAAGGCCTCCAAAGTGAGTTTTTCAACCCAGAGGGCACCTCAGTTTGAGACAAGCCCCCCAGTTCCTCCCTAGCCAGCCCCTTGGTACCAGTGAACACAGTCAGGAGGAACCAGGAGCTAGTGGATGGTGGGAGACGGGGAGAAACTTCTCTGGCTGGAATTCTGGCCAGTGACCATCACAGCCCAGAACGGCAGGTGGAGTGGGAAGGCGCTTTCAGAATGGGACAAACCGACTTTGAAGTGACAGTGCCCTGCGGTCGGATCCCAGCCCGGCACTTAATAGCTGCATGGCCTTGGCCAGGGTACTAAAGTGCCTTAGGTCTCTTTTCCTCCTCTATAAAATGGGGGTAATAACAGTAGGGCTGTTGGGGGAATAAGCGTACTAGCACACGTGAGGTGCTGAGCACTGGGTATGTGCCATAAATGGCTGCATTGTTGTGTTAATATCAGTGCTGGTGTCACTAAATGACATTATCTTGTTCCTAGTCACAACCCAGCCTCCACATGTGCACATAACCCACCCGGGGAGGGAGGGCCAGTTCCAGTGGCCACACAAGCGCAGGGACATGCGTACATGTGAGAGCACAGGAGCATTGTGACACTAGCTCGGGCTGGAGATGGAAAACTTCATTCTTTGGGTCATGCTCTGGGTTTCAGGGGAGGGAGGAGCCGCAGGTTCCCGGCTTCCAGGCTCAAGGTGGAGCTGCACACGTTCCCCTTGAGGTGTCTGACCCAGAGGCTGGAGGGCACAGGGTGGGGGGAGGGGCGGAGGAGAGGGCAGCCGGGAGCAGTTGCCATTTTAGACCTTGACGTGCATGCTGTGTAGGCAACACAGGAACAGTGAGTCACAGGTGACCAAGTGCCTGGCTCCCTGGAGGAAAACAAACGTGTGGTTTCAGAGGAGAGAGCTGACCCGGCCAACTCTGGTTTCAGGGGCCCTGAGCTGCTGCCTCTGGAGTGGTCTCTGCAAGCAGGAATAAAAGGGAAGGGCCGCCTGTGGTCCAGGATTAAGACACCTGCTTCCTCTGCTAGAGTGTGGGCTCGATTCCCACCTCTGACTCCTGACTTAGGCCAAGGCAGACCACCGTGGGAGGTGGCAGTGATGGCTCAGGTGTTTGGGTTTCTGTCATCCACTGGAGGACCTGAATTGAGTTCCTGGTCCCCAGGTTTGTCCTTCAGCCCCTTCATTCTCTCCTTCGTCCCTAATCCCCTGACCTCACCCTCAGCTGGGGTGGGCACTTGGATAATGATCCAGTAAATGGCAGCTTTCTCTGCCTGTCTCTCAAATAAACAAATGATTAAATAACAGAGGGATTATAGAGACACACTTCCCAGGGAGGCATTTTGCTTCCCCTAGTCCTCCCTCCAAACCCTAACCAAGATTCTTCCTCTGGAAAAACAGCCCAGGTCCACTCTAGGTCAGTTTTGTGGTTTCTCCATGGTTCACGTTGAGACCCAAAAGCAGTCAGGCTTTCCCTGGGGAAGGGAGCCCTGTGAAACAGTTTTGGAATCCTCAGCTTTGCTGTCTGCAGGTCCTGGGGGTTCCCCATGGAGCTCTGCCGCTCTTCTGAGAGGCCAGCTGCCTCTCCCAGGCCGTGGGTGCTCCAGACCTAGCCTGAAGCCATGCTTTTTGCTTCCTGTTCTGCTCAGCACTGCCCAGCTTGAGCAGTATATTACTGGATTGATGATTGACCAGGCCAGCACACCTCAACGTTAGCAAACATCTGGAAGCTTGTTTGCTGGGTGCAGCTTTTCACCTGCCTCCAACACCCTGGCTCAGATGTTGTGACACTGTCGCTGGATGCCCAGATGCAAGAGTCTGTTCTCAGTTAATATGTAACACAGCCCCCTGCAGAGCCTGGTCCAACCAGGGAGAGCGGCGTGTGGTCGAAAAAGGACGAGGCAGCAAATGCCCTGTGCCGGGCACTTAGCACTGGTAGGGAGGGGAAATTGCTTTGTTTGGCTGTGAGGTAGGGATGCTGATGCCTGTGTTGTGGTCACTTCTGAGAACTACTTCTGGCTCAGGCATTCCTGGAGTGCCCATCTCACTGCCAACTCTCAGTAGCACACATCCTTGGAAATCTTCCCACAGGAAGTTTTGGAAATGAAGCCAGTCCATTTGAGCTCTCTGATGCACTCTCCCTGCCATGGTTTCCATACCCAAACAGTAAGCATTGATGTAAAAAAATGAAAACAAAATCTGTGGCCCGGTAAGATGGCCTAGCAGCTAAAGTCCTTGCCTTGAACGTGCCAAGATCCCATATAGGTGCCGGTTCTAATCCTGGCAGCCCTACTTCCTATCCAGCTTCCTGCTTGTGGCTTGGGAAAGTAGTTGAGGAAAAGCCTTGGGACCCTGCACCCATGTGGGAGACCCAGAAGCTCCTGACTCCTGGCTTCAGATTGGTTCAGCTCCGGCTATTACGGTCACTTGGGGGAGTGAGTCATCGGATGGAAGATCTTCCTCTCTGTCTCTTCTCCTCTCTGTATATCTGACTTTCCAATTAAAAAATAAATCTTAAACAAAACAAAACAAAAACTAGTTAGGCTGAGGTTGGTGGGGGGGTATTCTGTCTTTCTCTCTCCCTCTCTCCCTCTCTCTTTCTTATTTCTTTGAGAAAAAAAAAAAAACACATATTGGATACTTTCCCAGTATCACACAGTGTCACCTAAAGTCTCCGGACAGAGACTTTGTGGACAGAGAACCCCTCATCTACCGCTGATCACATTTCTTAACTTTTCTCAACTTCCATTTCCTTGTCTGCAAAGTAGGGGCAATGATTCGAAACCTCAAAAGCACATACAGCACTTACTGAGCACAGCGAAGGCACTGCACGTAGCTCGTAGACAGAATTTGGGTGTTTCAAACTATTCCAGCAACTTCCTAGTGCCCACGGACACTGGGAAACCTGCCTTCCTCGCTTACTCAACCTCAAGGGACGGGAAGGACAGTGTCTGCTCTTCAGAGGAGGAGCGCCGGTAGCCATGCCTGCCCTGTTGGTGGCATTCTCTGTTAAAGACAGTCAGTGAGCACACATGACAAGCTCCAAAGCCACACACCTACGTTGTTTTTATCATTGGCTCTGTTTTTCTTCCGATGAAATGGCAGAGATTACCAAAGGACACCATTACCCAAGAGATTCGGGTGGAAGGCTGGTTCCTGCCTTTTTTTTTTTTTTTTTTTTTTTATGGCTCTGACATTTTTGAAAAACAAGTCGGGCAAACAGGCTGGTTCTCTCTTGTTTGATGTGGTTGGAATTCTTTCTAGATCATGTGATCGCTCACTCATTTCTTGATGCTCATTTTAAAAAACACAAACAAACCTGCTTGGTTTTTTTCTTTCTTTCTTTCTTTCAAATTAACCTTGGAGGCTGTGGGGCTGAGGAGAGGGCAGGAGGCAGCGTCCTACCTGGGGACAGGCTTAAAACATCAGAGCTCTGGGCAGTGCCAGATGCGTGCAGGGAAGAGAGGCACTCAGGCAGCTGACGGGTCTTAGCCTAGAAGCACCCCTGAGGGACCCTGCTGCTCTCCCAAAGGTCAGGGCTTGCTTACAAGGCAAGCTGTTTCTTTCTTAATATTTTCCAAGTTACATGGGGCAAGCATGTGATGTGGTGATGAAGTCACCTCTTGAGATGCCCACAGTCCATGTGGGCGGGCCTGGTTTGAGTCCTGACTCCTCTGCTTCCCATCCAACTTCCTGCTAAGGCGCATCCTGAGAGGCATCCCTGGTGGCCTGAGTACTTGGACTCCTTCCACCCATGTGGGAAACCAGGCTGGAGTTCTTAGCTTCTGATTGTTGTGGGTATTTGGGGAGTGAGTCAACAGATGAGAGTAAATACATATTTGGGGGAGAGGGAGCTGGTGCAATGGTGTATCAGGCTAATCCTCCACCTGCTGTGCTGGCATCCCATATAGGAGCTGGGTCATATCCCAGCTTCTCTGCTTCCAGTCCAGATCCTTGCTTATGGACTGAGAAGGTAGTGGAGGATAGCTCAAGTCCTTGGGCCCATGCACCCATGTGGGAGACATGGGAGTAGCTCCTGGCTCCTGACTTCAGATTGGCTCAGCTCTAGCTGTTGAGGCCATTTGTGGGTGAACCAGCAGATGAAAGATCTTTCTGTCTGTAAATCTGGCTTCCCAATAAAAAAAATAAATAAATAAGAATCTCTAAAAAAGTAAATAGTTTTTAAAAATAAAAATAGAATTGTGCATATGGCACATCTGTGAAAAATAATGTGTATATAAAAGACAGCTCCTTTAGAAATTATGATTAGCCAGAAAGCATTAGAAACATTTCTGGTGATGTTGAACTCATAATAGGTACATCTATTGCCATTGTAATTGTTTATTACTATTTTTAAATTTTATTAATTTTTGTTGGAAAAGCAAACATACAGAGAGGAGGAGAAAGAGAAAGATCTGTGCATTGCTTCACTCCCCAAGTGGCTGCAATAGCAGGAGCTGAGCTGATCCAAAGCCAGAAGCCAGGACCCTCTTCCGGGTCTCCCACACGGGTGCAGGGTCCTAAGGCTTTGGGCCGTCCTCGACTGATTTCCCAGGCCACAAGCAGGGAGCTGGATGGGGAGCGAAGCAGCCAGGATACGAACCAGTGCCCATATGGGATCCTGGGTGTGCAATGCTAGTATTTAGCCACTAGGCCATCTCACTGGGCCCTGTTTACTACTACTTTAAAAGTTGTTGCCAGTGCACTCAGACATGTGGACCGATTACTAGCAAGGAGGACATCATGTTCTCCAATGCAAGTCATTTACTTTGGGGAAACAAGAATGAAGTGAAAGAGGAAAAGGCAGTGGGAGGAATAAATTAAAGGATCTATTGGAGTGGCCACATACAAAGTAAATACACAGAAATCAATAGCTTTGCTTCCTAACTATCTTATATGTAATGGTGAAACAAAGTGGGGTGTGTAGGGTTCAAGCCTCATTTAATAGCTTTGTCATTCCATATCAGTTTTTTGACCAACTAAACAGAAAGGGCTGGGGTAAGGCATTTGTCACGGAGTTTGGAGATCTGGAAAAGGTAGAGAAACCCAGTAATGGCCAGTGTCCACATTCTTTAAAAGTGCCTGTGGGGCAGTGGGAGAGATGAGTTCTGTGTAACAGATAGAAACTTGGATTCTCGGTCAGACAGGACAGGCACAGGTTTGGACAGAAGTGTACCATTTGTTACGGAACTTTAGGCAGCATATAGATCTAATTGAGCAAGGACACACGTATGCGTCTCTGCCCTCAGGACAGTGGACGCATCGTCTCCCACCAGGTTTATCTGCAGGGATTTTTACCAATCACACATCTCTAGCACCAACCATCTGGAAGGTAGGAAGCGAACGGAGGCAGAGAGCGAGGCGAGCAAGTGAACGCCTGATTTCCGAAGTGGGCAGATAACTCCAACACCTCCGCTGCCAGTGCCTGTTGGCCGGCCACCTTGAGTTCTGCCAGCTTCCCTAACGTGGTGTCTGTCACAATGGGTGCTCGCTCAGTGTTCCTGAGTCTTTCTCAGGAATGAAGCTGTGGACTAGCTGTGCCGTGCTGAGCAGTTGCTAAGTCTCGTGCTTGTAGGGAGCATTCTGGGTGGCTCTCACTCACTGAACTGCAATTGTTTTCTCTCCGCAGCAGATCTCGGTCTCAGGAGGAGGCCTGCCCCCTGTCAGCACCTTGACAAACATCCACAGCCTCTCCCACCATAACCCCCAGCAGTCTCAGAACCTCATCATGACCCCCCTGTCCGGAGTCATGGCCATTGCACAAAGTAAGTTCCCGGAGCAGTCGCCGGATGTGGGGGCGGGGCGGAGAACTTCAAGCCAGTGGGCCTAACAAGAGGCTCTATGGGAGGGTCCCCCTCAAACTCAACCCCTTGTGGAGGCTTCATTTAACTTCCTTGTTTTTTTTTTTCCCTCTCTTTCTCCTCAACAAGAAAATTATGGAATAGACTTAGAGTTTCAGTTGCTGTTCGCTTGTATGTGTGTCCTGTGTCACTCAATAAGCCTTTAGGCAGCCCAGTTTACTCATTGATAAAATGAATTGTTGTTGGTTTTGATGCTGCTTGGGATCCCCGAGTTCGGATCAGAGTGCTTGGGTTCAAGTCCCAGTTCCACTCCCCCACATTGCAACTTCCTGCTGATGGACACCCTGGGAGACAGCGGATGATGGCTCCAGGTAGCTAGGGCTTGCTGTTTCTCTGGGAAACCAGGATGGAGTTCCTGGCTTCTTTGTCAGCCTGGCCCAGCCCTGGCTGGCTGCAGCCACTGTGGGGAGTGAAAAAGCTGATAAGAAATCTGTCACTCTCCACATCTCTGTGCCTTGCAAATAGCTATTTAAAAAAAATGTTGAGGCAATCAAATGACTGTGAACGCATTCATGTATAAAGCGTTGTCTGCTTTTGTGTTCATTCTTGTCCCTAAATATGCAGTTCTATTTTCCAGAAGGTTCTTTGTGTTGATAAAGACAGAGCAAGATGTGCTGGCTTCCTCCTAAATGGGCGAGATGGTGGTGTAGTGTTGTGCTGGAGACTGCATAAGCAGGGCTGACCTCTCACTGCGGGGGCGTGTACCTGGGAGGGCTGTCGCAGTGATCTGAGCTTTGAAAACCTGAAGGAGAAGTAGGCTGCTTGCATGCATGGTTGCAGCTGGGGAGGCAGGCTAGGACCGCCTGGCTCCATGAAGCTCCTCTGCCCCTGTGCTCCAGCAAGCCCACACTCCATCACAGATGGGCTGTTTCAAGCTGTGGGGAGGCTGAAGCAGGCTGCAGCTGTTACTGTCTCTCTGGGAGTTTCTTTTGTGAATTGATTTTTTGAAAAGATTTTTTTTATTGGAAAGGCACATTTTACAGAGAAGGAGATATATTAGAGAAAGATATTCTGTCTGCTGGTTCATTCCTCAAGTGGCCACAACAGCCAGCGCTGAGCCAATCCAAAGCCAGGAACTTCTTCCAGTTCTTGTGGGTCTCCCACACAGGTGCAGGGTCCCAATGCTTTGGATCATGCTCTACTACTATCCCAGGCCACAAGCAGGGAGCTGGATGGGAACTGGAGCCGCTTGGACACACAGTGGTGCCCATATAGCATCTTGGTGTATATAAGGCAACAAATTAGTCAGTAGGCTATTGCGCCAGGCCATGAATTTATTTTTTTTAAATATCTGTTTATATATTTGAAAGACACAGAAACAGGGAGCAAAAGAGCTTCCCTCTGCAAATGCAGTCCTTAGAAGCCAGGACCCAGGCACTCCATCCAGGCATCCTCCATGGGTGGTGGGAACTTGGTGTCATCCACTGCTTCCCAGGTACATTGACAGGGAGCTGGATCAGAAGCTGAGCAGCTGGGACTCGAACCTGTACTCTGATGGTGGGATGTGGGTGTCCCTCCCAAGCTGCGGCTCAGTCTGGCATGCCAGGACGCCTGTCCCCTCACTGAGTTTTGACGTTGATAAGGGTTCAGTATATTTTCAACCACACTGCGACAGCTTAGGCCAGGTCATTGCTCCTGGAAGGCATTGTGGTGACCCTGGAAAACTGTCCTGAGTCCGCAGGGGAGAGCTCTCTGGAAGGCATGGGAGTCTTCTTACGTTCAGCCTCATGGTCCTCTGAGCCTCCCTTGCATCTTGTGCCCATGCCAACGATGTGTGTTTTCTTCCTTCTGCCATCCCTAAAGCAGCTCCAGTGGAGGTGTCCACTCTGATTGCTTCTGGAAAGAAGGACTTAGGTACCTTCCGAGGACAAGAGAGGGTGAGCCTGCCAGACTCACCAGGGTTTGCCAAAGGAGTGTGCTTGGCGCTCACCATGTCTCTAGATACTTGGAAACTGACACACTCTGCCTGTGGCTTTGCAGAAGGAGAATACAAATGGAGAAGCCTGCAGCAGACTCATAGAATAAAAAATGACTTGAAACGTATTGCCTTTTCCCTGAGCCCTCTGGTATACAGAATATCGTAGCCTTACTCTAGGGCCAGGATTTGCATTGAGATAGGATACCTACCTGAAAAGAACTTGCTTGACTTCTAGAAAAGTCGAGTAAAAAACTCGTGGATATAATACCCCACTTCCTTATTTCTACAACCAACACCATCCACAAATTGCCTAACTTGGCTTTTTGTTTCCCATACCAACCTTTGGCAGACATGCATAGTTCCCCATTCTTTCTTTTTCAGGCATTATCTGATTACAAATTTTCCCTGGGACTGGTCTCTAGTTTTCAGTTTTGTTGCTCCTCATTTCCCCCATCCCGATTTCCCTGCCTTCTCATAATACCCTTAATCTGCTTTAGCCAGGCAAGACCAGAATGTCTACTGACCTTAGAGGGGTCGGGGTAGTGGCTGGGTGGTGTTGCCCGTACAGTGAAGTCGGCAGAGAATGAATGAATAATGAGGCTTGGCTGAAACCCAAGGGTCCTACCTAGGAAAGGTAGGGATAAAGAGGCAGCTATAGGCAGCCTTATTTCAGTAACTCAAAATTTGTTGAGTTCAAGGGCTGCAGAATAAGTGATAGCAAATTATCTGGCAGGGCTGTGTCCATTCTACCTGTTTGCCTGTCAGACTGGATGGCATGTTCCCGAAGCAGGCACCCATACTCCAAAAATGTCGAGGCCAGCAGTCACACACTAGGGGAGCTAGAATGACATCAGGAACCCTCGATCCTGGAACTGAGGCACATCAGGATCACACACTGTGTTGAAAATGAGATTCCTGGGCCCCACCTCTGAAAGTTCTGACTCATTAGTTCTTGGGCGGGGCCCAGGAATGTCTGCTTGTTGCTGATCCCTCCGGATGATTCGGAGGCACAAACTCCAGGCCAGTGCTGTGGGGTAGCAGGTGTACGCTGCAGCCTGTGATCGTGGATCCCATACCAGGGCACTAGTTTGAGTTTGGGCTGCTCTGCATCCAATCCAGCTACCTGCTAATGCACCTGGGAAAGCAGCAGAGGACGGCTTAAGCACTTGGGCTCCTGTCACCCACGTGGGAAACTCAGATGGTATTGCTGGCTCTTGGCTTTGACCGGACCCTATTCCATCCTGTAGTGGCCATTTGGGAATTGAACAACAGATTGAAAATTCCATCTCCTCTTATGCTCTGCTTTTTTCAAGAAATAAAATAAACCTTAAAAAGCAAACGACAAAACAACTATATCTTCAAATGTCATCCGTTCTATACAGGATAATTTGTTCTCCCAGACAGAAATTTCCCAAACAGAGCAGCAGCCGTGCATGGTTCCCAGTAAAAGCAAATTGATGTGACCCCCCTAGGACAGTGAAATGATCAGTAGGAAGCAGGGAAGGGAAACAGGATGTCAAGGGGTTAGAAGATGCCAGCTGACGGAGAAGCTACAGCTTCTCCCAGGTGACTGTGGGCCACTTGGGTTGTTGCAGAGGGCGCTGTCCTGAGGGCAGTCACCCCCAGCCAGCAGGGCTGGCAGCAGAATTCCTCCATTTGTCTGTCCGGTGCTCCTGTCTTGTAGGTGTCTACTCACACCTTGCAGGTGTCTAAAGCTCGGAGTAGGTTGTTGAGTTCTCTGCCTTCTTTGCCAAGGACTTGCCCGGAATCTGGGAATGACTCCTGGCTCCATTTCAGAAAAGCCTTTTCAGGTGTCCCTCTGCATCTGCATAGGTCAGAGACCTTCCCTCGGGTGCTTTTCCACCTCCTCTTTTCCACCCCTCGCCCTGAAACAGGAACAAAAAGAACATACATTGTTCTTGTCCTCACTTCGACCCAAGCTCAGCCATCTTCTTCAAGGACTTACAGAACTGGGCAGGCATCTATAAAGGCCTCAAGGTGGAGACACAACACTACTGGTGGTTAGCCTCCTTCCCTCGGGTCAGATAGCAAGACTGCAACCTCCAAGGGCCAACCTTGAGTATACTACTTCTGCCATCTGAGACCTGGTCCCCTGGATGCTGCTAGATAAGATGCACCCAGTTCAAGGGCGGATGCTTGGTCCAGTGCTAGGATGCTACTCAGGATACCTGTATTCCATGTGGGAGTGCTTGGATTCCAGTCTCTGCTGTGCTCCTGATTCTGCTTCCGGCTAGTACCCTGGAGAGGTGGCAGGTGAAGGATGGCTCAAGTAGTTAGGTCCCAGCCTTCCATGATTGAGCTCCCAGCTCCTGGCTTCAACCTGCTCCACCCTGGCTGCTATAGGTGTTCAGGGATCTGAATTCTCATTCTGCGTGTATGCCTGCCTGCCTCTCTTTATCTTTCTCTCCAATAAACAAAGAGAAGAGAAAACAAAAGTTTCACTTTTTCAAAAAGATGTACCCATTTCACCCACCACTGAATCCTGTGTTTGTCCCCTCTCTGACCCCAACCTCTCCCAGAGTGTTTGTACAGCCTCCCAAGGCTGTGGGGTGGTTTTGCTGTCAATCACTTTGCAGGTCTCTGCACACTCCTGCCCTCTACTGGACAGATGGATGTGGGCCTGGAGTGCTTCAGCTTGGCCCAATAGGGGGCATGGGTGCAGTGGGACATTAGTTAATTTTCCAGGGTTGGGTTCGGGCAGTTACAGGATGACTTTGGGGGACTCACAGGCTTTGGCCAAATTCAAGTTCCCTGTAACATCCAGTAAGCGAATTAGCCTCTCCTCAGTGTGTCTGTCTATAAAGTCACTTCCCTTGGGGTCATGTCCTCAGGGGTCCAGCCCAGTGTGTGGCCCGCAGAACAGGGGACTCAGTGGGTCAGCGTCCCACACGCTCCCTGCACGAAGCTTTGCTGACTTCTCCCTCTCTCCCACAGGCCTCAACTCCTCGCAAGCCCAGAGCGTGCCTGTCATCAATAGCGTGGCCGGCAGCCTGGCGGCCCTGCAGCCCGTGCAGTTCTCCCAGCAGCTGCACAGCCCTCACCAGCAGCCCCTCATGCAGCAGAGCCCTAGCAGCCACATGGCCCAGCAGCCCTTCATGGCCGCTGTGACTCAGCTACAAAACTCACACAGTAAGGACACCAGGCAGGGCAGGGTGGGGGTAGGGCAGGGCAAGGCAGTGGGAGGGGCAGGGGACAGGGCAACCCCAGCTGCTTGTCTCTCTAGTTCCAAATTTCCTCAGAAAAGGGCCGGCTCAGTGCCTGCCCAGAACCAAACCAGCTGGTTTCTCAGGCATGACGCTTCCGTGTCGCTGTGCCTTTCCTGGTCCTCTTCCCTACTTCCTGAAACCCAAGGAAAGGTTTGACGTGGCCAGGAAGCATCTGCCCACCTGAAAAATGGCGGGAGGTAGTCCACACAGGTGGAGCACCTGCCAGTTTCCCATTCCCGCACCCAGGGAAAAGACAACTCCATCACCCATCACACCCTTTCCCAACTGGCCTCTTGAATTCTTTTGAGTCCAAAACTCAACCTCAAAATAAGCTAGTACCAAATAACCAAGGTGGACCTTTCATTTGCATCCTGGTTGCCTGTCTAAATCAAAAGACTTTGGAAAGAAACTCTGCCCTTCAATTTATACACCTAGCACATCTCTAGTCAAGAGCCCTGGGCACGGATGGAAACTGCCACCGATGTGTCACTGGGGCCAGGGCTAACGGGGTGACTGCCCCTGACGTAGGCTGCTCCCTAGTCATAGAGCATAGACCTACGCTAGCTCTGCCTATTTCTTGCTTCCATCCAGAGCCCCAGGCCTTTGATCTTCCAGCCACAGCCCTCTCCCCCAGCCTATGAGCCTGGGGAGGGCTCCTCAGTCTTAGGAACCCTAGGGAAGTGTGTAGGGTGGTGTTAGCACTGGGCCAGCCCGACCTGAATGCTGACCCCAGCCATTAGTAGTGTGTAGCCACTGGCCAGTAACCCACTCTGAGACTAAGATTCTTCAGGTGCGTATGGGGTCCCTTTGAAGGTGAAATAAGAACGGGCATGCACTGCACCCCACAAACAGAAGGAGTGATGATTGTTAGGGATCCCCTGGGCAAGGACGGCCATCTTGCCCTGGCTGCCTCGGCTGCCTCGGCTGGCACTGCAGCTCTGAGGCCTCGTGACTGACTTTACTCTTCGTCTGCATTCCTGGAGCTCAGTCCCTGTGCATGCCACGGAGTTGGTTTCCGAGCTCCATCCTACATTCTGGTTACATTTGTGCAACTTCTGCAATCTGCCACGACCTGCTTTTTCCTGCTACAGCCTGGCAATGTGCTTCCCAATTGTCCCCCGCCCTTCTACCATGCCCAGGCCTGTGTGGAATGGTCAGAAGAGCTGCCAGTCACCTGTGGCCTGTGGGGTATGAAGGCCGTGAAGGCAGAGCCCAGGGGGCCCTGGACCAGGGGGTGCTCATCCTACCTCACATGGGAAGGGTGAGGGGAGGCAGGCTCAAGACCTTTACTCCATTTGTTCCTTGCTGGTGGTCTCTGCATTCTGTGATCACCTAGGCCCTGCCTGACGGCCAAGTGCCCACATACACTTGTCATCTGGTCACAAGAATGGAATTTTCATGAGTCAAGAAGTTTTAGATTTGTGGAGAGGCACTAACAACAGCTGAAAACCAAGTCGTGTGCTCCTCGACTTTCTATCTGAAGCTCATCTCCTCCAATGTCATCTTACTGCAAACTGCATCTGCTCAGAATTATGCAACTAATTGCACCCATAGCTGACCGAGCTTGTCTCTCCATCCACAACTCCTAGCATGAGACCTGATGTTTCTGTGAGGTTCATGTCTGCCTGGAACTTCTTTAGACCTCAAATCTCAAATAAGCCATGGATGTCTACCGGTCACATTTTATTGAGAGTCGGAGGAGCTTAGGTGCTTCCCTAGACTACTGTGTGCTTGTGCTAGGCAAGGCTTTTATTTGCTTGCTGCAGAGTAACTCAAATCCTGCAACAAATATCATCCCATTTTATGGATGAGAAAACAGAGATTTAACCATGTTGTGTAGTCCTTCCAAAGATGACTTTCACCCTACTCTCATCTACCAGGGGGAAAGAGGAGCTATGTTGAGAGGTGGGGACCAGATTGGGGGGTCTTTAGCTGCATGTACACCTATGTATATATGTTGATTTTGTCCTCTCTCTGTCTCTGTAGTGTACGCGCACAAGCAGGAACCCCCCCAGTATTCCCACACCTCCAGGTTTCCATCTGCAATGGTGGTCACAGATACCAGCAGCATCAGTACGCTCACCAATATGTCTTCCAGCAAACAGGTAATGCCAGCAGGCCGGGGCCGGGGCGTGATGACTCCAAGCTATTAATGTGGCAGAGATGTAGCAAACATGTTGTTTTGGGTAATGTCCTCCAGAGTACTTTTAGTTACTTGCTGAAAGGCTCTTTGAGGCCACGGAACCAAGAGGATGGATCACATTATTGCTCCCCCAGCTTCCCCAGGAGGTATATTGAGTGAGCACTGATGTGTGACAGGTTGCTGGAGCCTACATGACCAGGAGCTGTTAGACCCTGGGACTGAGCACTTGCCAGTGGATGACTGTGGATCCCAGCAAAGGGTTTTGCAAGAAGGGCTCAGGGGGCTGAGTTTTATTGTAAGAATGATCCCTTAGGATCCACCAGGTGGTGAGCAGAGGAAGCGAGTAGTGAGTCCGTCCCAGAGCTGGTCCTCGGTGCCCAGGACCCGTGTTGGACCCAGGGCTCTGTCAGCTCCAGGCAGTGACCCAGTCCTTCTGCGCCCTGGGGACTCACAGGGAGCAACCTGGCCTTCCCAGGCTCTGCATTCACTGGGTCTTTTATCAAGAGATTCAGAACCAACTTCCTGGTGCACCGAAAGTGGGGAATCTAGAGGCTTAGTCATCATTGCAGTTGATGAGTAATACCCACCTCCTCATAGAGGATATAAAGCCATAAAGGTAGACGACCAGTCATGAGGCTCCTTGCTGGCTGCAGTGGGACACCGTGAGTTACAAAACAAGACAAGGTGTCTGAGCACGAGTCCCCAGCAACACAATAAGATCTTTTAACAGCTGGGGTCTGCACAACGTGGGAACTGTTTGGCCTTTATCGATTGCTAGATAAGTAGGCAGCAGCCTTGAACTTGCTATCAGAGGCTCTCGGCGGGATTTGGTCTTGTGGATGGTCTGTTTTCCATGTGGACCCTGCCAGCCCCTTCCCCTCCACCACCCAGGGTTTTGAGTAGGATCTTTCACGGGCTTGTTCTGCACTTCCTCCCGGGTCTAAGGCTTGATCGTGACGTTTTCTCAGTGGCCTTGGCCTCCTAGACACTTCATTTCTTCATCTGCAAAATGAGTGTTGTGCCATGTAAGTCTTGTGAGGGTTATCCAGGCCGCATGGATGAGAGGCCCGGCACGGGAACATACGCATGGCCTGGCACACTGGGCTCTGGAGTCGGGGGCAGAGTGAGAGGTGTGTGGGACCTGTTTGGCTCCTCTTCTCTCACCCAGTGGAAGATGAAAGGGCGACCCCCACAACGGCCCTGGCCTCCGCCTCCCATGTGAGTTCCCACTCTTTGTAGTGAGCAGGGAAAACATTTATCTGTGCTCACCAATCTCCATCCAGGGGGCAGCCAGGCGCAGCGGCCCTTGCTTGGGAATACTGCCGTCTCTGAAAGGTTTATCAATTCATCTGCCGCTCAGTCAGCCCCAGACAGCTCCGTGATAAATTATTCCTGTCTTTCCCAAGTGGACTTTGATGCTTGCTTGTTGAAACAAGTCCTCTGGATTCAGGAAATGGTTTCTTAATCAGCATACTTGAAGATGCTCCCCAAACCGCCACACCGCCCCCAGCTGGCTCCTCCCCTCCAGTGCGCAGCCCATCTGGGAGCTGAGGAACCGGGCCCTAGAACCACTAGCAGGGCTCCGATGTTGCAGGGATCTGGCAATAGACACCTCTCTATGATGTGGAGGATTATGATTGCTTAGGAGGGATTAAAGAAAACAACTCATATAACACTTCGCCGCTCATGCTTCTTGTGAGCGTTATCACATCATTTTTATTGCTACCTTCAAAGTACAAAAAAATAAACGGAAAACCCAGCGATAGAGTTTGACCTGTCCAAGGTCACACAGGTGATAAATCGGAGACCTAGACCTCCTGACTTTGGCCTTTGGCTCCAGATTGTCTCACTTAAATAACACCTGCCGGCGGCTAGAACCCATCTCTGAAATTCCCCTGGTGTCCACAGCTGCTCTCATTGCCACAGTGAGGGACAAGAGTGAACGTTAGGCCCACGCCCCGTACTCTGAGCAGGCTGCTTCTGAGACGACCGGAAATGAAAAGGTTACCAGGGCTCCTGGCAGCAGAGACTGCCCTCCTGGGGTTACTGAAGGGAGGCCCCAGTGGTGGGTTTTGGCAGTTGTGCTTTTTCTGTGTTGTTGAGTGCTGTTTTCCCCCAAAGGATCACAAGATCAGTGCTAGGCATCAGCGGGCATAGTGGGGGAGAGGAGAGAAGGATTCTTTGCTCAAGTGGGTTGGGGGAACTGCTGCTTTAAACAAAGTGGAACAGTGTTGTGCAAGGCTGCTTAGAATATGAACATGCAAATAGTGCATTGAGGCAGGCCGTCAGCGTGCGCCATGCTGGAGTCAAAGCGCCAGGACAAAACTGTCCCAGAGGCCTTGTTGCGCAGATAGAAAAAGCTGACAGACCTGAGCCCAGCCCAGCTCAGTCTCTCCCCGCTGGGTGACCTTGGGCAGTTGGGTGAGACTCCATTTCTTCATCTATAAGTGGGGAAAATCCCATCTCACAAAATATTTCAAGTGCCCAATGGAGTATCTGCTGCCTCCATCTTCCTTCTGCTGGAGATCCCTTAGGAAATAGCCCCCTCACCTCCCACCTGCTCCTTCGATAGTTAACTCTTGGCTGGGTCTACAGGTGGTCAGGACCCTTCACAAGCACACAGCACACGCCGCCTCCTGGGCCAGTGTGACAGGTTCCTGCTCCCATTCTCCTGCTGACAAACAGGTGCCCTCTTGCCTACTGCCCAAGATTAAAACAAACAGTTCAGGGGCCTCCCGAAGCATTTGAACCTCTTTTTGTCTTTTAGCCCAATGCCTGCGCTGCAGTAGATGTTCAGGATCTAGCAAATAAACGGATGGATGGCCCCAAGGGATGGATTCAGGACTGTGTTTTTAGACTAACTCCCTTTTTCCAGACAGCGCTGCACGTGCTTTTCTGTGTTACCTTTCCTGGCTAACTCTCCCAGTTCATCCTGCAAGGTAGACATGCTTATGCTGACTGAGAGAGAGAGCAGTAAACAGAGACTCAGAGACTGTTGGGGATGGCGGGGAGGTGTGGATCTGGCCAGGTTCACAGAGATGAAAACTTTTAGGCTTGTGCATGCAGATTTTAATCTTTTGAGTCCAAATCCATTAAGCAGCACTCACCTTCCAGTGTCTGTTTTTAGACACAATGAGCCAAGGTTTTACAGGCACAAGGCTGAAGCCAGGACTGGAATTTGTGTGACACCAGCACTTCCTGTTACCCACACAGACGTGCCTCAGGGGCATTGGGAATCAGGCTGGGTAATGGTTGCTGTCAGAAATCCTCCTTCCGCCTCTGTGACCTGTCTCTCTCAGGAGTGGGGCCGGCCTCTGCTCCGCAGCTCTGGGGTGTGAGTGGTTATTGTCAGAGTCAGGTTGTGCCTGAGTTCTTGCTAGCAACACCCTCCTGTCTGGGGAAGAGACCACAAGAGCACCGACTTTGGTTAGAACAAGTGTGGGCAGGCTGCAAGCCGACGCCTGTTTCCACAACTTTCTCTTCACTTCCTAGTTCATGCAGAGGCCAAGAGAGGACACTCCAACACACACACCGACCCCACATCCCAAGGTATTCCACTAGGTCAGAGTACGCAGCCTCCTAACAAATCCCCGGCAACCTCTCCTACACCTGCTCCCCAACTTTCGCTGGGCCATGAGGCAGGATTTGAGGGTCCTGAGCATCAGGCAGGTGTGGGTTCAAGAAAGAGACTATCAATTTATATATTTATTTAAATTCCTGTTGGAAGTCAATCTTATTTTGAATAAGATTTATTTATTTGAAAGAGTTGCAGAGAGAGGGAGAAAGATTTTCCATCAGCTGGTTTACTTCCCAACTGGCTTCAAGGGCCAGGGCTGGGCTAGTTGAGAGTCAGGAGCTTTATCCAGGTCTCCCACATGGGAGCAGGGATCCATATGCTTGGGTCATCGTCCAACACTTCCCCAGGTACATTAGCAGGGAGCTGACTTGGAAGTGGAATAGCCAGGACTTGAACCAGTGCCCACATAGGATGCTGTCCACCCTAGGCAGCTTTACCTGCTATGCTTCCTTGCAGACCTTGACTACCGTTGTCCACCTGTGTAGTGTCAGGAAGATATCCAAGATCAGTCTCATCACCTGCAAAAAAAAAAAACCACAACAAAACAAGAATGCCTCTTCTCTCTCCTCATTGGAGGGACTAGCTGCAGCAGGGCTTTGCTCAGGTTCTAGGCCAGAGGGAACACCCAGGCTGGGAAGCTGGCACCCACTTGCTGGTAGCCCTGGAAGGAGGTTTCTGTTTTGTTTTAAGATTTTATTTATTTGTATTGGAAAGACAGATCAGATTTACAGAGAGAAGGAGAGACAAAGAGAAAGATCTTCCATATGTTGGTTTACTCCCAAAATGACCACAATGGCTGGAGCTGAGCTGATCCAAAGCCAGGAGCCAGGAGCTTCTTTTGGGTCTCCCATGCAGGTTCAGGGTCCCAATGCTTTGTGCTGTCTTCTACTGCTTTTCTAGACTATAAGCAGGGAGCTGGGTGGGAAGTGGAGCAACTAAGACATGAACTGGCATCCATACCTGTTCCCAGTCCTTACAAGGTGAGGATTTAGCCATTGAGCTATGGCTGTGGGCCCTGGAGGTTTTTTAAGGAACAACAAAGAAGATGTGTTTCCTGGTGTTACCCCACCCAGAAGACAGACAGAGGTTGTTTCCTAGGGCATAGCAGCATGGGCTTTCCTAAGTCAACTACACTTCCTTACCTCTAAAATTGGAGATGCCCTTGGTACTTTTCAGGACAAGAGCTACTATTGTCTTCCCTAAGCTCACAGTCACGCAAGTCAGTTCTCTGTACTGGCTGTCCACACCCTCCGCCTTCTCTCTTGAGACCCCTGCTGATGGGTCATAGTCCTCACACTGCCCTGGGCCCATTCCCTGACCCCTCCACGTCACCTGCAGCCGCCTCCTGTCTGTCCTCAACACAGCCGCTCAGTCCCTGCTCTGGACCTTTGGATTGTAGGACACTGCCATTGCCGGTTCGCCCGTGGTGCCATGGGCCTCTGCACATCCCCTGAGCTCGCGCCTCAGCTTCCCAGCCCCAAGCAGTTGCATGGCTCTGGGTCTCCTGCTTGGGTCTCCTCCTACTTGCGCTCACTACTTGAAGAACGTGTGGAAAGGAACCACCTCCAATCCTCTGGCTCTGGATTAAGTACACACACTGATGACTTCAGTCATTCTGACCCCAGGATGGTCCTCTCCACCTAGTGCCCACACACAAGTCCAGTGCGTCTGTGACAGGGACACTTGTGTGCCCAGGACAGGACAACTTCAACATGTTTATGGGAAGTGAGTGTTTTCTCTCAATCCCATTTTCCACAGTGTGAAAATCCCTGGAGGATCTCATGAGCCTTTCAAAGCAGACACAGCTAGGACTGGAGTTCTTCCTTTTGCTCCAGTTCCTCTTCAGGAAGCACTTGTGCCTGCTGTTCACAAGCCTCTCGAGAACATTCTGGATGTTTTACACACTCCGGTGCTGGTAGATCCTGCTGACGGTGGGCCGGTGGTGGGAGAAGGGCAGCTTGGATCCGCAGGCCTGCACTGCCCACTCCTGGCAGACTGTCCTGGGCCAGGCGCAGAGCCCTCCTTGACTCACGTGTTCTTTAATGGTCCTGTACTTGGCCTCCTGCTTCTGCCCTTGCCGCTTCTCATCCCAGCAGCCAGAACCATTTCTTGAAAAGAGAAAGCAAGGATGAGTCTCTCCCAATAGCTCTCCATGTCATCCAACCTGAAGTAGAGCCCGGCCAGAGCTTGTGTAATCGGAACACTGCGGTGTCCCCACTCGCCACCTCCTGCCTGCCAGCCTGTGCCACTGCAACCTCTACCCAGAATGCTCTCTCCTGCACATCTCCACCTGCTTGCTTCAGCACCCCCACCTCCAGAAGGCCTGCCTGGATCACACTCCCTATGTTACACCACTTGGTCAAGTTCACTGACTGCCGGTTTTACTGTGAAACGCGTTCTTTGTGCACGCCTGCACTCTTCCTCATTTGTGCATTGTTCAAAACCCTTGCTAGAAAGCAGCTTCTTCCAGGTGGTTAGGCAGGGTCTTTCTGATATCTGAACCCCGGCCCCACAGTAATGCTATAACTCTCCCCTAGTCAGTGGAAGAATTAAAGAACAATAAATGACATGTGGGCAACCCTCAGTGTGGCTCCTGGCACACAGTAGGACTGCATATCACATGTTGTGGTCAGGGTTACTAAAACTCCTCCAAAGGATGGCTGCATAGTCCCTTAGGGATCCTCAGGGCCAGGCTGGACCCCTGGGGCGGGGGTGCTAGTGCTGGGCCTCTAGCTGCAGGGGACCTCGCTATACCCCTTATCAGATGTTTGTGTTTAGACTCTGAAGGAGGCAAATAGCTCTAGTCCCTTTGACAACATTGAGGGCTCTGCCACCATTTTATTATGTGAGCAAACATGTGATAGCCGGGAAGCCCATCCCTAATGACAGGTCATAGAATCTAGCTGGCGTCTCCTTATCTGCCCTCCTTGTTTGCTCTTCTATTGAAACCCACAAGGTCACAAGCCATTTTCTCTCTCCTCCACCTGAAATCTGAAAATTGGGAAAGGGCTGATAGTGGGAAGCAGAAGAACTGGAGAACGGGGGTAGGCGGAGGGAGGAAGAGGAGGCAAAGGCTATCAGAGGACCCTGACCAGGGCCTTAAGAATGCAGAAGGGTCAGGAAACTGGCCCCTTCTGCGGACATGCAGCTCAGGCGTGCCCTGGAGAGCAGTGTGGCCTGAGGCCCCTGTGCAGCCCCTGGCCAGGACTGTGCCCACCGTCCTCCCAGGCATGTCATGTGCCCACCACCTCCTCTAGCCCATAGCAGCCTCCACTTTATAGGTGGGGAAACTGAGGCTGGGGGGAGCAACTTGAGCAAAAGCAACAGGCTGAATAGCAGGTGCTTGTCTTCAGAGCACCACAGGGACATGGACCGGGAGGCTGCCATGGACTGGTGGGCTCTCTGGCCCCATAAGCTCCTCATTCTGGACTCTGGGACAATTCCCCAGGTTTCTCTGATCCCGATTTACCTCATCTGTAGAATGAACACATTGATACTTTCAAAGCTGGCAGCACTAATTAATGGAACAACAGTGGAGTCGTGGGTCTTTCGTAGTAGTACGAGAGTGTGTGTATGAAGGGAAGAGCCTGAGAGAAGCTACTGAGCTTAAAGTCTCAAAGGAAGAAACAGAGCAGGAAAAAAAAAAAACCCTAAGAAAGTGAGGATGAGGAGGAGCGTGGTGCTGTTCAGAGGAGCTGAGGAGAGGCTCTGGAAGAGGAGGCAGTCCCAGGGAGGTCTAAGAATTGCCCCCGGCCCTCAGGACGGCACGGCCTCAGAGGCTCACAGCCCTCCTTCATGGTTCCGACCGCTGACCAACAACTGAATCCTAAGCAGAAGGTCATGCTCTGACAGGCTCTCTGAGACTCATTTCAGTCTGGGAAGCAGCATTCTGGGGAACTGTGGCACCCCCACTTCCACAGGAAACAGGAGTTCTTAGGCAGCAGCCTTGACAGCTACACTGAGCACCCCATCTTTATCAGTGTCAAAGGCTGTGGGATCCAGCTCCAGGATTAAGCTCAGCGGTCACAACCCTCTCCTGGCTTCAGCTATCTCCTCTCCTCTCTTCCAAAGTGGCCGGGGAAGCCAGTTCCCTGGTGTCCCTAAAGGAAGTAGATGCTCCAGAGTCAACATTGCAAAACCGGGGCCAGCACCAGACCCCTCCCCATCCAGCAGCCTGGGAGAAGCCAGGCGGATACCCTGCAACTCTGCCACCCATGCACAGCTGAGCTCTCTCCCCTCTCTCTCTGCAGTGTCCCCTGCAAGCCTGGTGATGCCCACACACCGCTTACTTTGTGCCCAGCAACAAGGACCCTGGTTTCCACAGTCACCCCCTGGGCAGCTGTCATGGACAAGCCCCGTGACCTGACGAGCACGCGCGAGAGGTCCCCGCTTACCTGACGTCCAGCCAGCGCCTTGGACAACTGCCCTCAGGAGGCGCCGCCCGAAGCCCAGCTTCCCTACTATGCAGTATTGTCCTGATGCCTCTCCCGGGTGCCGAGTGCTCCGGTCTGCCCCGATGCAGGAGCCAGGAGCCACGGAAGAGGATGACAAAGTGGTCATGCCAACCTTGTGATCCTTCAGCGAACAAACTAATGCGAAAACTTGAATCTGTTACTGAAACGAGGGGAGGAGGACGCCCACTGTTGAACTGAGCCAGACACACTGTAAATAGCCACAGACACCCTGTCCTGCCCCCCATCCCAAGTGATCCTGAGATTTCTTTTAAAGAAGTAAATTTGTCCAATGGGTGTAAACTGTAAACTACTGGAATGAAGTGCAATTTCCCTCCTCGTTGCTCCCCTCTGCTCTGTATATAATACTAAAGTGTCTACTAGTTTTCTTTGTAAAGGTCAGAGTTGAAATTTCTAAAGTGATTGACACCCCTCCCACCTCCCTCTTTTCCACCTTCTCCCCTAAATCCCCAGAGAAAGACCCCAAGCAGAAAGTGAAGCCCCCTCGTGCCCTGCCTCAGCCCTGGACCCACATGGGGCAGACTGCCAGCTAATGCCAGTCTCCTTGTGTTAGGGTGGGGCTGAGCATGGTGTAATAGTACTCTCCTTGCTTCCTGTAGGGCTGGAGGCTTAGCCAGTACAACCCCCCAACACACACCCAAGGAACCCCAGTGTGGGCAAACAGGCTGGCTGAGAGCAGAAGAAAAATTTACCGACTCAGAGAGCAGCCCCATTAAAGCAATTTATTTTATCACTACCTTATGTCTTCTATTTCTATGTCTGACACTTGGCCACAATGGCACCAGGAACCCGACAGCCCTGGTCCTCATGGGGTTCTCCACTTATGCCCCTGGGGTCACAGGATGTTATTTTGGGTGTGAAGAAGGCGGTGGCCTTCACTCACTGCTGTGTCTTTGGCATCTTGGTGCCAGTTTTGCTGCTGTTCAAAAGAAGGGAGAGTTAACGTCACATAGCAAGAACATCTGGGACAGGGCAGGGGCCAGCACTGTGCATGGGGAGAGGCCAGACTCTCCAGAGCATGTTCCCAGCTGAGCTGCGTGTGGGATGACTCCTGCAGGGCCCCAGAAGGGAATGCAAACCTCAAGGCCTGGCCTTCCTCGGAGCCATGGATCAGGACTCAGGCTGTCTCGGGAATTCTGAGAACTTAGAAGGTCTGGTGTAGCCAGGAGGCCCTGTGAGCCACAGGAGGAGGGCTGGAAGGGAGGATGTGTGGCTCAGGGATGGTCTCTAGGGACTTTTTCTAGCCAAATCCTATCTGAACTAAAACATACAGAAAGGTGATGTTGAGGAAGTTCAACCCCTTCTCTCAATCAGGGACTTCCAACCTCAGCTCCAAGAGGGGCCAAATGACCCTTTACAAATGTGTCCAGGTAGCAATCAATGGCTCGCTACAGCTGGAAAGCCCCCCACCTTCCTCCCTACAGCTCAGGACCCTCTGTTTTCTCGCTTTGCACCAGAGCCCACGCTCACAGACGGGCGATTCTGTGTTTGCCGTCATGGTGATGTTCAGGGGAGTAGAGGGGAAGGCAGAACTCCTTGTAGCATCCATGGTTAGGAAAGGAGAGCAGTGCTATGGACCTGTCTTTAACCCTCACTGCATGTCCATCTCCCTCCTCTCATCCCATCCCCGTACAGCAGTTGGGAGGTTTTCCCTCCAAAGGTGAAGATACTGCAGTGTTAGCTGCGGAATTCGAGTGGATAAGAGTACAATGTGACCAGGCAGGGAAGCAGAGCTCCTCCCCACAGCTGGGGGCACATCTTTGATATTTTTGTTGGAGCGGAATGCCTTGATTAGGATCAACAGCTCCCAGCACGGAGGCTCTCTGATCCCAGGTCTGTGAGCTGGGCTGATGGCCATTGTGCCTATTTCACCAGGTGAGCTCTGGGGAATAGACCAGCTGGTGCCCCGTGAAGCATCTAAAACTGTGCCTGTCTGGCACACAGGGAGACCTGCACGCTAGTGGATCATTCCAGAGCATGTTCTCTCCTAGAGTCTTTTGGCCTTGATTGACATTTCCAGACAACCTCACCACTGACTGCATGCTTGGAAATGAAATCTGCCTAGCAGTGGTCAAGTGTACTGTTCCTGTTTAGGTACACTGAGGCTGAGACTGGGTAGGATCTTTGTCTTTCTTAGGGAAAGATCAAATGGGATGATCTCCATGGGTGCGAGGGTTGCAGGAGGGAGACTGGGGTACATGTGGCTTCTTGGTCTGAAATCAGGGGAGGGGATCCTAGAGGAAGGGTCAGGGAGCCAGGACAGGTGTAAATTGGTGGCTTATTTCTACTCAGGAGAACCAGATCCCAGAGTGCCCTTTGAGTCAGGATGTATGTATTAATCAGGACATGCTGACGTAAACAAATGCTGTTGGAGGACACTGCTCTGGGAAATAAGCAATTGTTGCTTTGGAGTATGAGCTAAGCATGTTTCCAAGTTCCAAGTGTGGCTCAACCACATCATACAGGCTGCATATTTGTGAAGAGTTGCAATCAGGTGAACTCAAAACCTCTGGGGTGCTCCCCCTCCCTCTGCTCTCTTCCCCCTCCCTCTCTTTCTCACCCAGTCCCTCCCCTCCTCATGGGTGCAAAGGTCATTCTGGCTAGACAAACACTGGATTGTCTGCTGAGATTTATAACGTGATTATTTCATAGATGAATCTTGGGGGTGTGCGAGACTCTGCATATGCCTGGATGCACATGTCTCTGCCTTGGCTGTATGCATGTGGAGGAAACACTTTCTGAGGGAGAATGAGCAAAGCAAACATGGAGGGCACACCATCTAAGCAGCTTCCACGCAGGCTGCGTGTATGTGTTCATGCCAACAGATCACACAACACAAGCGCAAAATGTCCCTTTGCCACGTATTCCACTTTCTCCCCAGAGAGAGACTTTTCTATTCCCAAAAGGAAGATTTATTTTCCCATACCCTGTTGTTCTGACAGCCTTACTATATTAACATACTAAATATCTAATAATTAATATTCTTATTCCTTAATTTTATTATCAATAATATTAGCACATTATTAATATATGAATTACTCCAAACTGAATGTAAAGAAGTGGATAAAGCTACCACCCCCCCAAAAAAAAGAACCAGCATGCTCGGTTCCCTGAGCCATTTATCTAATCAAAACTAATCTCCCTTCTTTGCTTCAAGAAATAGTTGCTGACAACTAGCTGCATGCCAGGATCATTGTTCTTTTCCTTCTTTTAAGCTTTCTTTATTTGAAAATTGGAATGACACAGAGAGAGATCTTCCATCCACAGGTTCACTCCCCAAATGGCTTCAGTAGTCCCCACTGGTCCAGGTCAAAGTCAGGAGCCTGGACCTCCACCTAGGACTCCTATAAGGATGTCAGGGACCCAAGTACATTTGTCCTCTTCCCCTGCCTTCCCAGGGACATTAGGGGAGAGGGGCATTGGAAGTGGAACAGGTAGGACTCAAAGGCTGCATTGGGATGCCAGCACTGCAGATGCTCCACAACACCAGACCCAGATCCATTGTGCTAAACCCTAGGGATACAACAGGGAACCAGAGAGATAAAAAGCCTTCCCATTGTGGAGCTGATATTGTGATCAGGGAAACATTTAAGTAAAGGGGTGGGTGTGGGTGTGCGCGCATGCATTTAGTGGCAAGTACAGCAGGCCAAGGGCACACCAGAGGTAGAAGCAGCCATTTGAGAGAGGACATCAAGAAGAGAGCGGCCAGCGGGAAAAGTACACCCCAGAGCCCTAAGGTTGCTGAGTGACCGTGAGGACACGTGGGAGGAGAATATTTGTGGAAGAGGGAGGGGCCAATGCAGAGCCGCTGATTGCAGTAAGTGGGGGGGAGGGGGATTGTCAGAGGGGCATGTGGAGACAACAGAGTGACACACAATATCCAGTCGCAGTCGAGGGACTGGTGGAAGCTGTCCGAAGAATGTTGGCTTTGACTCCACATGAGCCGCACACCTCCTGAGAATTCTGAGCAGGGCAGGGAGCAGATCACGTGCTTTCAAAGGCTCCTTCAGGTTGCTGAGCAGAAGTACAGAAGGGCTTCTCCAGGAGTGACAGCTGAGAGCAAAAAGAAGCTGTTACCATCATGCAGCAGGGCGTGGAGGGCCACCAGGAGAGGCCAGCAGTGTGGATTTTGCAGTGAGAGTCACAGGGAATGCCGAGGTTTCCTGGGACAGGACGTGTCAGGGAGCAGCGCATCACGTGTAATTTCAGAGTTCCAGACTCACATGAAATGCGGAGTAGAAATTGGTGTCCTAGGAAGAAAGACAGGGTTACTGAGCACAGACCCTGTCTTGATGATGATTTAAAGTGGTCCAGAGGAAGTGACTTCCACCTGGCTTTGTGTCATCCATCACACCGTGATGTGGGCTGTGACTGTACCCCTTCTGGGAAGTCCGTCTCTCCATCACCTGCTGTTCTTTCATTCACCAAAGCTTCCTAGGAGCTACCTTATCTAGACATGGGGAGAAGAGTGTGCTTTTGAAACGGGTCGCTTCCAGTAGTTGGCAAAGCCAACACATGTCACCCTGTTCTGGCTGCTGCTGTACTTCCTTTTTTTAGTTTTTTTTTTTTTTTAAGATTTATTTATTTTTGTTTGAGAGGCAGATTTTATGGAGAGAGGAGAGACAGGTCTTCTTTCTGCTGGTACACTGCCCAAATGGCTGTAACAGCTAGAGCTGAGCTGATCTAAAGCTGGGAACCAGGAGTTTCTTCTGGGTCTCACATAAACGTGCAGGGTTCCAAGGACTTGGGCCATCTTTCACTGCTTTCCTAGGCCATAAGCAGGGAGCTAGATGGAAAGTAGAGCAGCCAGGACATGAACTGGTACCCATATGGGATGCTGGCATTGCAAGTTGAGGATTAGGCAACAGGGCCTTCGTACCACCTCCTCCCACTCCCAGCTGCTGTACATCTGATCCAGTTCTCTAGTAAAGGCCTGGGAAAGCAGCAGAGGATGGGCCAAGTCCTTGGGCCCCTGCCAGCATGTGAGAGACCCAGATGAAACTGCTAGCTTCCATCTGGCCCAGCTTCAGCCATTGAAGCCATTTGAGGAGTGAACCAGTACATGAAACATCTGTGTGTGTGTGTGTGTGTGTGTGTGTGTGTGTGTGTGTGTGTGTGTGTGTGTGTGTGTGTGTGTGTACACGTGCGCTTCTCTCTGCCTTTCGTATAGGCACATTTGAAAAAAAAAAAAAAAGTAAAGTCCTTTCCCCTTTGCAGCTAAAAATCAACTTGGAGGAAATTTAAGAACCACTAAGCCTGTACTTAATATGCCCAAAAGGACTGGAAAGAAAAACAAAGAAGAGTAAAGAAGAGGGCAGGCAGAAGGAGGTAGATGCACTTTTGCATGGAGGTGTCTTTGCCCTTGCTTGCTCAGATAGAACATCGTCTGGGCATTCCAACTACAGACATCTGGCTG